CCGCCTGCACCCCCCCCTGCACGTCGCCCTGCGCCTCGTCCTGCCCCCATTCCCGCCGCTCGCCTCTCATCTGGAGCCGACCAGCGATGACTGGGGGAGCTGTGGTCCTTACCCCCCTGGGGGAACCCATCGCATCGACGATCTCTCGAGAGGGGTGTCGAAATCGATGGGTCCCACAGGGGGGTAACGACCACAGCCCCCCCAATTGTGGCTGGCCTGTGGAGCCCCCCCCCCCCACCAGCCTGAGCGACGACAGCCAGCGGGCTCCACGCGAGAGGACGCAGCGGCCTCACGCCGCGGCTCGCGCGGACCGCTGGCACGGCACGCCGCCCTGGAGGCGAGGGCGCTTGCGCGCCATCTTGCGCAGACAGCTTCTGCGCGAACATCGGCGCAGTCGACCCCGAGTTCCTCCGTCGCCCAACTGGGGTCGAAGCAGGTTGGGGTCGGAGGATCGCGCCGCATCGCCAATGCATCGGCGACGGCGGGGTAGAGAAGAACGGGCCTCAGATCGTGCCGCATCGCCGATGCGTTGGCGGTGCGGCGCGACCCGCGTAACAGAGGACTGACAAAAGCAAGACAAGACACTGGCGGGCCAAGGAAACTGCAACCGAGGGCCAAGACATTACCAAGTCCTCCTTCTGTCCAAGCGGCCTTGGCGAAGACCTGGTTTGCAGTGTCCTGGCCTCCGAGGCCCGGAAGTCCTCCGATCCCAGCTGCTCAGGCTCCCGACGAATTCCTGGACCCCTTTCCAGGAGCTTGCTTTTCATCCCGAGCCGTCTGTTGCTCCCATCGTGCTTACGGACCACATCCCAGACATAATTTCGAGCACCCGGAAAAGTGTCGAAACAGTGTCGAGCGAATGTCTCCCAGGGCCCGACACGTGAAAACCCTCGATGTTCGGTACTTCCTTGGTGCTCGAATTTTCCCGGGTGATTCGGGCGAAAGCAAGTCGGAACATCATAACCCGAGTCGTTCTTTTTAACGGGCGAAGAACGGTATAAAATAAACTTTTTCGCTGTCGGGGGCGTGTGTCCCAGGGCGGCTGGAAAGTTTATACCCTTACGGTGGCACCGTAGGGGTATAAACTTTCCAGCCGCCCAGGGACAGGCGCCCCCGACAGCGAAAACTAATATGTTATACCGTTCTTCGCCCGTTAATTTTTGGCGGTCCTGAGGCCAGGAAGCGAGGGGCAGCACTAGGGGGAGGACCAGCTCGGGGTGGGACACATCGAGCCCGACTCGGCGATACGTCGCCGACAGAGCGGCGGCAGGCCCCCGATCGTGACTCCGCATGCTCCCGGGCGGGGCGGACCATCGAGCCCCCGTCGGCGATGCACGGGCAACTGGGGCTCGTCCTCCCTATTATGTCGAAGCCAATCTGGCGCCAATCTGGCAGGCCCAATCTGGCAAACGGGGGCGATCTGGCGAGGGAACCAACGCGAATCCAGTCTGGCGAATAACCCAAATCATCCAGTTTGGCCGGGCCAGATTGGCCCTGGGGGCCCAATCCAATCTGACAGTCTGGCCTTCGACCACCCAACATACTATCGCTGCCCGTGGTTGCAGGCCCCAGGAGGCAGGATTTCTGTCGGAGGGAGCCGGAAAGGCAAGCGACGGAAGGGGACGACCGCAGCACCTCTCGAGTAATCCGTGCACTCGTTGGCAAGCGCGGCAGAGACTGATCGATGACCTTCTACACAGCATCCCCCAAATAAAGAAAGACATCATCAGACGGTAAAAAGGCACTGGCAGGCCCCAAGGTCTGTTCATGACGATAGGGCGCTAGAAGGGGGACCTGCCCGCCGCGCACGGGGCAATACCGAGGGCCCCCCCCAACACAGGGGTCACCACTTCTTCCTTCGCCGTCGCTCGCAAGCCCATTCCTGTTGTTTGTTTCGGTTTCGTGCGTTTTTTTGATGTTGTTGAACTCTCATATCTGAAAATAAATATTGTTGATCCCCCCTCACTGGTGCATACTGTTTTTGCTCGATCAAAGTGTTCCCCTCGACGCTCGCACCCCGTTTTTGGATAGGGAAAGTCTTCCTGCTCAAGCTGTGCCCCTGGCCCCCTGGATTGCAACAGCAAGAGCTCCCGCCTGAGACTTCCTCCAACTTTGCTCAGGACCCCCGCTCCCGCCTGCGACTTCCTTACAGTTTACTCAGGATCGGTGCTCTCGCTTCTGACTTCCTCGCAATTTAGTCAGGACCCCCGCTCCCATCTGAGACTTTCTCACAATTTACTCAGCAACGGCGCTCCCGCTTGAGACTTCCTCGCGCTTGGATCAAGACATCCTCTCAATTTAATCAAGACCCCCGCTCCCGCCAGAGAACCCCTCACATTTTATTAAGGAGTTGCGCTCTCGCTTGTGGCTTCTATGCCATGGATTCAGAACTTGCGCTTTCGACGCTCAGGAAACACGCTGCGCCAAGAACGCCGTCAATTTTCTTAGGAATACCGCTCTCGCCATACTCAGGCATCCCGCTTGACTGTCCCACCCGCCCGACCCGCCCGTCAGGGGATCGCCCGCCCGTCGTGAGCTCCCACCCGAGACTTCCTTCAGGAACGGCGCTTTCGCCTAGGACTTCCTCGAACGTTCACGCTCTTACCTTCCTGCTCCTCCTCCCTCACCCTCCTCCCTCCTCCCTCCTCTCCTCCCTTCTCTTTCCCTCCTCTCTTCCCTCATTCTTAGGCCTCTCTGCCCTATTCCCACTCCCTCCTCTCCCTCCTCCCTTCTCCCTCCCCTCTCCTGCCTCCTTCCTCCCTCCGTTTTTTTTTTCTCTCTCTCTCTCTCTCTCTCTCTCTCTCTCCCCCCTCTCTCTCTCCTTCTCTGTTTCTCTACCTCTCTTATCGTATGTTGTTTTTGTTTGTTGTTGTTTTTTTTTCTCTCTCTCTCTCTCTCTCTCTATCTCTCCGCCTCTAATCAACCGCCCCCGCTTCTTCGCTCCTTCTCTCCTGGCGTCTTCCCTCTTCCTTCGTCCCTCCTCCTCCCTTCCTCCCACTCTCTCTCGTTCTTCCACTCCTCTTTTTGCAGGACCCAAGCAAATGCCAACGGTGGGCACATGTACGCCCACGAAGGATTGTCCGCCCGTTCAGGTTTGCCCGCCTGTCTAAGCCCGCCGCCCCCCGCAAAGGGAAATCATCCCCCCCAAATGGGGTGTGATCGAAGACACAAAGGGCGGGTATCGAGGGTGTGGGGAACTCATTTCGAATGACACACGGGCAAGTAAGAGCGAACAATCTTATAAATGATTGTTGCTGCTTTGGTAAATACATCTCGCGACATGATCCAGGATGCTGCAAGATGTTTCAGATGCTCTGGCGCTGGCCTCGCCGAAGTACACGGCTCGCGCCCGAGCGATGCAGAGTCCCCGAATAGACACGCCGATTCCTCCAGGAAGTGCGCCCCCTAAGAACGCTCGGGAAGCTCTCGGAAACCTCCGCGAGCTTGGATCGTGGAACCTCGCTCTCCAGGAGGAGCTGGCGAGCCCCCCAAGGGTGACCCCTCGTGGCGCTTCCTGAGGGACCGACGTTGCGACAAACACACAGCATCGCAAAATTCACTGCCATCTCGCAACTTCTGCTGCATTGTTCGAGCCGGGTCGATCTGTGATGCTTCCAGGGCCTGACACCGAACGACAACGCAGGTGTGAGGCACATGCAGCGCCCAGATCTCAGGGTACTGGGATCGCCGCGAGGGTTGCTCAGTAGATAGGGGGCTCAACAGCGGATGTCAAGGTGGTTACATCTGGCCCAACCTGGCTTCCAAGTGGGTCGCGAGTGCCTCATGTGGCGAGGGTGTGTGAATATCCTGGCTAAGCGGACTGATGCAACCGTCCTGAGCCACTCAGGGCACTTGTAACCCATTTGGGCGCCAGGTTGGGCCAGATGTAACCACCTTGGCATCCGCTTATCCGCCACAGTGCCGTGAAGCACGAGTTGGAATGTCCTCAGGTCCCGTCGGGCTCTCTGTGCTGAATTCTGCACACGTTCTTTGAGGGGCCCACGGCCTTGAGTTCCAGGCGCTCCCGGGCGTTTTCAGGGGATCCACGCGTGACTTTTCGAGAGGCCATCGAGCTGACGAGCGCGCTGTTCGGAATACGAATGGCAGGCACGGTTTCAGATGGCGTCTCGTGGGCCGTCTTGGAGGCCCTGGAAGGCGGCCCAAGAGGCCAACCTTGTCAAAATCAATGCTTTTTCCTTGGTTTTCGTATGACTTCCTTTGGTCTTCGGAGCGGCGTCCAGGACTGCCCAAGAGGCGCCCAAGATTGCCCCAAAACGGCACGGACGCCCCCAAGAGGTGCCCAAGACGGCCCCAAGAGGGGCCCAGGATGTGGAATACGAACTAACATTTCAAGCCCTCTGCCCCAAGATGGCCACAAAATCTCCCCACAAGCCCCCGAGGTGCCCCCGGAGGCCCCCAAGAGGTCCCGAGACACCCAAATCAGGCTCCAAGACGGCCCCCAAGACGCCCCCAAACACCGCCAACACCGCCTCCAGGAGGCCTCCCAAGAGATCCTCGCCGGCACCTGGGAGGCTCATGACCTACAAACCAGGCGCGGCGGCGGGATGGGCCGACCGTCACTGGATGGAGCCCTAAAACGCCACGAAAATCGGGACAAAATCGGATCGGGATAACTCGAAATCTCTGAATATCGGCGGGTTCGGAGGATGTTTTGGGCGCCGCGGCCGCTCCAGAGCGTTCCGGACCGCTCTGAGAGCGCTCCGGAACGCTCTGGAGCGATTTATCCCGATCCTAGCCCTGTTTTAGAGGTGGCGCGGGGGGGGCCGGCCTTCTGAGAAGGGCGCGGCGGGGCTTCTGAGAAGGCAGAGAGGGCCGCCCGGCTTCCAGGAAGCCTTCTTGGAAGCCCCTGGGCCCTCCTGGGAAGCCCCCCCTGCTTGCTCAGCCCTATTTTAAGCCCCCTGTCCACCTCGCAGCCCCCGCGGCGCTCCGGGTGCCCGCCCGCAGGTGGGCGCGAGCCGGGCGCGGCGCCCCCGAGGCGCCTCCACGAACTCGCGCGCGCCGTCCGGGGGTGCCCAGTGGCCCAGCAGCAGGAGCAGGGTGTCCCCGAACCTCGGCGCAACGGCGCGCCCGGCTGGCGCGCGGAGGCAGAGGGAACCCTGAGACCCAGGGGTCTCAACTTGGTCCTCCTTTTTCCGCCTCCTTCCTCCTTCCTCCTTCCTCCCTCCCTCCTCCTTCTCCCTGCTCCCTCTTCTTCCTCCTCCTCCCTCCTTTCTCCTTCTGATCCCTCCTCCATCCTGGCTTTCGCGGGGCGTCCGGGCGCCCAAGACCGCCCAACGTGGCTCCGAAAAGCCCACGGCATGGCCTCCCGCATGGCGCCGCATACTTCAAGACGGCCCAGGACAGCTTCTCACATGCATCCAAAACGCCCCAATATCGCCACGGGGCGAGCCCAAGTGGCATCAAAACCTCCCGCCGCCGCCCTCAAGGGCACCACGTCCACAAACATAGTGAAAAACAGTTTCGTGTTGTGGTTTCTCGACCATTCGTTTCCGATGTACGTTTCGGTCTCAGAGATGGCTCCTCAATGTCCCAACAAACCTCCGCGGGGGGCCCTGAGAAGCCGATGTCAACCTCCTATAGGGGCGCGAGAACTGTGGGGCATCCCCATTTTGACTCATGGGTCCCACGGCTGCCCTCGTAGTTCAAGACCTTGCGAAGTGGGCCGCAATCGGGAGGCTGTGCGTGGAGGAAGTTGGCAGAGCCCAAGCCGCCTTGTTTTTATAGTAGGCGGCGCCGGCGCGCAACTGCATCCCTTGCTTTCGCAGAGCGCTCTCCGCCGCTTCCGTGAACGTGGGCTTCGCGTGGAGAAACTTGGCCAAACCTTCGCAGTGCGGATTTTGCAAGTCTGCACGTCGCACAACGAACAATGCATTCGTTGTTGTCCACCATTGCGGCGACGTATGGATGATGCGCGTTAATGGCGCCAGAATCTGCGCTCCCGATCTTCATCTTTTGCTGGTGGGCTACAAGTTCGACCCTGTGTTTGTCGCGGTGCCCGACAAACTGGGGCCCCTTTACTTTCTCTGCTCGCACTGCGGAGTCTGCCCGCAAACGGGGCGGCGACTTCGACGAAGGTCCAAGTTGCGAGCTCGTCGGCCGTCGCCAACTGCAAAGATAGATCACTGCGAAAAGACACAATCGCACATCATATCGCGCCAGACGCTGCGTTCCGCAGATGCTCGCCGCTCGCCGCGCCGACGCGCCTGTCGCGTCTGTCGCGAGCGCGGTCTCATCAGGTGCGAGCTTGAGCCCGCGCGGCCGCGCGCAGGCACGCGGCGAGGTGAAGTCTGTCCATTCTTCAAGAACCCAAGATATTCCCATGCGCTGGCGGGGTGGCATGCTGTCTGGGCGGCCACAAGCTGCGACGAAGTGCGTCTTGGCGACGACGCCCAGTCCGCGTGGGGCCACGTGGGAGAAGAATGCGATATCCACGCTCGCTGCCATCGCGTCCATTTCGTGGTGGAAGGAGAAAGCTGGGACGACGGGATGGTCTGCTTCTGCGCGGCGGTGTTCGCCCGGGGGCGGCAGCGCGACCTCTCGCGGGGCGCGCGCCGGAGGCGCCGCCCAGGCTTGCTACCTTGCCGCGCGGCGAGCGCCGCGCCGAAGGCTGCGCTGTCGCGCCTCGTCTCGGAGCTGGGTCGGCGCTGGGCGGTTTCAAGGAAGGCGCCCCTGGGCGCGCTCGCGTCTGCGCGACGCCTGGTGCATTGTCGCGGCTGCGCTCTGGGCCCGCGCCGTCTCTCCGCAGCGCGCTCCTGCGTGTTCCAGCGCCATCGTGCGCCGCGGCTGATGGGCCTCGCGCCCGTCGGGGACGCGCGGCAGTCGCGCTGGGGCGGGCAGCCCCGGTGGCGCCCCGAGCCCGGGCCAGCGGCGGCGATGGCTCACGCGTTGCCATGGCCCCTCTGAGCGCCAGAAGCTCCCCGCCAGCAGCTGGCGCGCGCCCGGGAGAAGTCTTGCTCGAAGTCGGACGCGTGGTTCTCGGAGCAGTCGAAGGGGGCCTGGCGCGCCCAGGCAGCATAATCCTGACGCGCCAACGTTGCCGATGAGAAAATCAAAACATGTTTGGCACAACGGAAAATTGGCTCCAAACCAGGCGGTCTGTCCGATACTTTGCCTCTTTCCGGATGTCGCCTGGAGCAGCACTTCGCGGATCTTCTTCCTCAAGACCTGCGCCATCACCTGGCGCTGGCGCTTGTCTTCCGTTCGACTCAGAACTCCGAGCGCCGCTTGCTTTCAACGCAAATGTGAACTTTCCTCCAGAGCGAAACTCCTTCTGACAGCACCGCCCATGCTGGTGGGAATGCCTCGTTTCCCTTAAGCAGCTCGGAGTCAGACGCGATCGCCGAAGGCACGCACGGCCATGCAGTTGGCGATAAGGCCAGGCACGCCATAGGCTGTGGCACAGTCGGCTGGGCAAACATGTCCGAACGCATCCTCTTTTCAGTGCCAGGAACTACGCGGTGCGACTCGAAATTGCTATGTTGCTCTATAAGCAACCTGGCGGTGTAGCTCGAAGTCGGGCGAACTTCGCACTTGGTCAACAAGGATAACGTGGCACCGCGGCACTCGCTGCCAGAAACAACAAATTCAGCGCAAATCCTGCGCCCGAAGCCCCATGAATCGCGGCTATCAACGCCTCGTGGCAGGCACAACTGGCCGTCTTAGAGGCTACATACGTCGCAGACCCTCGGGCGCCTCTGCACATGGCACCGGATGCAACCAAACTCCTTGCGACCCGCATGGCGATCCAGATGTTGCGCCTCGGAAGTTGTTCCGTCCAGCACCATCCGAATTACGTCCCAGTGAGGTCGCTTTCGCAGCAGAATCTGCCAACGCCTCCCACCTGCAAGCGTATTCCTTGCCAGAGGTGGGGAGAAGATAGAGCCAGATATTGCAGCCTCATCGCCGCTTTGACCACCGCGCATGACCGCGCCGCGCGCTCCAGAACAATATTTGGAACGAGGGTCGGGCCGCGGGCGGTTGATCGACTTTGGGAACGGCATACTCTACCTCGGAATGCGGTTGGCTTTACTTTTGGTGGGGACACGTAGTTTTGGGACGGCACGATGGTTGATTGGTGAACAGACTATACATGCTATACTTGCTGCGACTTGTGAAGGTACCGTAGCTGCTGCTATGTTGCTCGCTGCCGCCAAGATGTTTCATCGGACGATTGCCCGCCCACTGGGCAAACTGTCGAACGGATCCCCGCACGACCATTCACCACCATCTCTTCTCTGAAGAGCGGGACTCATGGGACTCAAGTGGAATCTAACGGTCATTCTACGTTTGCTGCATGCACACCCTCCTGCCTCCACGTTTCCTCCTCCCTCCTCCGACCCCGCCCCTCCCTCTCCCTTCCTCCTGGTGTCCGTTGCGCAAGCGCACAGTTTCTCACCCGTGGATCGACGGACCTATATTTCCCCCTGCAACTACCAACGGATACGCGCAACTGGGAGCGCCGAAGGGTTCAATCCTTTGATACTGCGAACAGGTTTTTGCGCGTGGCTGGCTTGGCCAACATGGCGGCAATGTTTTGCCGAACCCATCTGGGTATCATCCACAAATTTGGGACTGGGCAGACTTGACCGAACTCCTTGTCTTGGTAGGCAGGAAGGCAGCAAACGACTCACCACAATATGAAACCTCACTGTTCTGGTCAGGCCGCGCGGTGAACCTGCTGGCGCCATCCAGGACAGCGAGAGAAAACAGAAAACAAGAGACAAGAGGGAAACAGCGAGGGAAGCAGGAGCCGAGGAGGAGGACAGCGAAGGAAGGAGGGAGGGGGCGGGAGAAAAAGAGATGCGTGACGGATCAGCACGTACTCTTCTCTACAAGGGTGCCCGACCATATGGCATGTGCGAGCAGAGCGCTGATACAGAACTCCTGACACTGGAGCGTAGCAGAACAGAGCAGCCGGGAGGAGAAAGGGTGGAGGCAGGAGGGAAGCCCCCGATAACCATGAGGAGGCGGCGAGAGCGGAGGTGGGGGCGGAAGAGGTGGGCGCCGGCTCAGCAGCAGCAGCGGCAGCCGCAGCAAGATCCAGCGGCACAAGAAGGCAACGTGTCGGACATCGGAGGCAGGCCACACCATCCGCCCTGGCATCCGCCCTGGCCAGGCCTCTGTCCTGGGCCCTTGGCTGGCGTGCAGGCGACTGGGCCAGGGCCAGGGACAACGCACGCCAAGACCTCTGGCGCCCCGTTGCTTCATGCTTGTGGGTCCCTCCCTCCCAGACCCCCGACATCGTGTGTTTGTTTCGTGACGTGGACCCCCAGAGGTCTGGACCCCTTCTCGGGAACTGCCTGTCCATCCCGAGTCGTTTTTCGAGGGTCCCGAGGCCCTGCAAAGGCACCCGGAGGCCGAAGGTATTACATCCAGTAGCGAACAAACCCCCATACAACGCAAGGGGGTCTACTCCAGATTTCGTAATGAAGGGAGGGGGGTCTCATTTCGGGGGGGGGGTCTCTTCCAGGCTATCTTGGAGGGCCTGGGGGGTCTGGGGACGATGCTTTCGAGGGTTCTCCCACGGGGGAGGTCTGAAATGGCTTGTCTTGGAGGGTCCAGACCCCCTCCCTTTTATTACGAAATCTGGAGTAAGGTTTCGAAGGGCCCTCGACCGAGCCCCGTCCACCAGGCTGGCTCTTGCCGCCGCGGCCCGCCCTCTCCGATGGCCCCCGGAGGCCCGAGGATCGGCCGAGCTGGCCGCCCAACACTGAAGGGGCCCTGAGATGCACAAATAAATACACACACATAAAAAATATGCCCCGTATTTTCCCATATTTTCTGGGTTTCTGTCTTCCCCCCCGCTTCCCACATGTTTGCATACTTTCCTGGGGGTCGACGATAAAATTGTGTCTGTGTGTTTCTCTCCCTCCCGAGTGTTGCTGTTCGCTCTGAGGCGCCAGAGGCCTCTGGGCCGGCCAGGGCTGACACCCGACGTCGTGGCACAGAATCCCAGACATGCTCGCGCCGTGCACAAAATCACGACGGACGGTTTGTGGCCGTCTTTCAGGGGGACGTACGACCTGGGTACAAGGGACTCGGAAATCCCCGACGAGGTCGTCAAAAAAATGACGAGGCCGAGCCTGCATTTTGACGAGGCCTCCCGCTGCAGACATCCTACGAACCCGAGTCCTGGCAAACCCGGGTCTTACGCTCCCCCGGGTCTTCGGCCCCCGCGGGGGCTATCGCCGGGGCCTGGGACCGTCAAGCACCAGCTCGGGGCGCAGAAAAACGGGCCTCTCTGAAGAGGTCGGGACTTCTGGGGACCGCGCGCTGGAAAAAAAAGAAAAACCTCGCATGTCCGTTTCGGGGGGACGTGAGACTCGGGTTGGGGGATCTCGGGATAGCCTGACGGGAACATCATGAGAATGACCAGACACGATCTGAAATTTGACGCGAACTCCGGCTGCAGACATCCCACCAAAACTGGACCGTAAAAATCCGGGGCGGGCTCTTCAAAAACCGTGGGCGAACCCGAGTGCTGGCGTACTCGAGTCTTACGCTTCCCCCGACTGTGATTGCAACATCGCGGGAGATCACTTGGCGGCGCGCAGAGGGGGGGTAGTTGGGGGGCGGAAAGATACGGATACGTGTTGTCCCCGGACCTCTCTTGGGGTGCGTTCTGACCAGAATTTCGAGGCGAATCCAGCGGTGACAACGAGGATTCCCCAGGAGGACCAGGAAAGGCCGAAAACGACGGGGGACAACACGTATCCGTATCTTTTTCTCCCCCGAGGTAGGGGGAGCGGGGGAGGCTTCTTAGAAGGAGGCGTGCTTCTAAGAAGCCTTCCCCCCTCCCCCACTGCCCCCCTCTGCGCGCGGCCGCATCGCGCGGGAGCCTCCAAAACGCCTGCCCGAGGTCGGCAGACGACGGCCCATGCAGCTGCTAGGGGGCAAACAAACCTACCTCGCTTTTGACCACCCTCGCTTCCAAGAGATACCAAGCGATGCCAAACTACGGCCTGTACTGGTCGGGCCGCTCGACGAGGAGGCGCGTGGTATGACTTGGTTTTGCCTGGAAGCGAAAGCGGGGTAGGTAATTCACGCTCTGAGATGCACCGCCCCTGGCCAGGCCGACTCCCTGGGCCCAGGCTCGGCGCACGTGCCTCCCTGGCCCGGGGGGGCGCTGGGCTTGTCAGGCAACGTCAAGCCCCGAGCTCCGGCGAAGCCGAGCTCCGGCGCACTCGAGCGTTAATTATACGTTTCCCCGACTGCTCTTGCAGCATCGCGGGAGATCCCCTGGGAGCCTCCAGCACGTCTGCCCGAGGTCGGGCGGCGACATCCCTATGCACACAGGCACAGCCCCTGGCCAGGCCGACTCCTGGGCCCCCCCGGGTCGGTGCACGTGCCTCCCTGAGGAGGAGGAGGACGAGGAGGAGGAGGAGGACGAGGAGGAGGAGGAGGACGAGGAGGAGGAGGAGGACGAGGAGGAGGAGCTGGCCAGGGGGGCGGCGGATCTATGACGGATCTCTCCTCGCCCTGCGAGGGCGTCGGGGCACAGCATGGCAACACACCGCATAGGAGAGCACGACCGGCCCCCTTGATATCCAAGACTTTGCCGCAGCACCTCTCGGGGTTTTCTCCTTGAAAGGCCGCCGGGCTTCCGGCGGCAGCGCGTGCTCTGGCGGGTGTCTCTCGCCCAAGAACACCCGTCCCGTGAGGGCCCCTGGAGCCGAGTCCGGGTGCAAATAGTGGGTGTGAGAAAGACGTGGCGCGCGGATCTCAGGACTGTCCCAGACCAGGCCAGCGGTGGCAGAAACAGTCGTCGGATCGCCAGAATATCCGAATCGGATCGGATCGAACCAGCCAGGACCGACATCCGATCGGATCGACCAAATCAAGATGGGCCCTGCACCTAGTGAGCCTTGTAGACGGCAGATCTGTTTTTGTTACCAGTTCTGTTTGTTTCCCTCCTGGTTCCGTCGCCGTATATGTTCTCGGCTCCGTCGCCGTTCTATGTGCCGCTCCAATTCCGACTCTGGTGATATGTGTGTGTGTGTGTCTCCGTTGCGGCGAACAACTTGTTCATACCGGAAACTTGTGTGTTGATGAGCCTTCATACCGTGTAATCACAAACCTGATTTTGGGAACGGTAGAACAACTAGAGGCCTCCCAGATGAGATCCGAGTAGATGGGGTCAGAGGATCGCGCCGCATCGCCGATGCATCGGCGAC